CCCCTCTCGCGAGAGCGGGGCTGGGGGGGGCCCCCGCCGCGGGGGCCGCCCTCCATCCCGGGCCCTGGGGCTGCGCCCCGGGCCTCGCCGTTTCCAACAGCCGTCGAGTCCGACAGCCGTGGTCCCGGCCCTTTCCTCCTCAGCCTGTGTCTGGCCTGGCCTCAGAAGAGCCGAGGGGGCGAGCCAGGCTTTGGCAGGTGCCGCGGTTAAGCATGGCAGGCACGAAGCATTATGGAAAAGCAAAAGTGTGTGTGGGAGCCTGCATTAAAGCAAATGCTGCCCGTACAGGAGGAGCCTACCTGAAAGAAAGTCTTGCTCCTTTAGGTGCAAAGAGGCTCTTTGATGCTCCTGTGGCAGAAGTGGCCTTGCTAGTATTCAGGCTGTGCTGCCAAATCTACCTTTTCCACAGGATTTGTAATCTGCTGACTGCTGGGGTTTAGACACAGAAGATATATTTGCAATGCTTCCCTCCACACACCCTTCTTGATCTTAACAGATTCCATGGATTTGTCATTTTAGCATACAGCAGAACAGCCTAGAGCATATTTTAATGTTTTATATAGGCTCATATAACTAGTGTGGCATAAGGCAGCTGAACTTTGGTGTCACTTTTGAGATTTTTGCCAGCGTAATTTTTTTGCCCAAATTGCAGATCAATGTTCTTTCATTCATTGGGACCAACCCTGCTGTCTGCCATGAGATAAACCCCTTGGTTTTCAGTTTGTAGTTGTCCTTAGTAATGAAATAGAAACAAAACACAGCTTTTCACTATTACTATTCTGCCTTCACACGATTCCACTGCACCATTTTGGTATGTGTAGGAACACTTGCAGAGACAGCTTAGTGATGTGATTAGAGGACACAATGGCGATCAGTTTGCAAGAGCCAGTGCTGCAAACCACATGCTTTCTAGATTATTAATAGTGGTATGAAAGAAGTTAGGTGTTCGGGTATTTAATAATTGTTACTAACTGTTCCATCTTACTCTTGTTTCATTACTCAGATTACTCAGATCTCCAGAAGGTATCATAAATATGGAGCTACAGCATAAATAAAACTGAATCTGAAATACTATTCTGACATTTCTGAAGTATTTTGAAATACTGTCAGACAGGAGTCCAAGACAACCTGTGATTAAGCAGGCTTTAAACCTGTGGTTCACCTTTCTTGAAAATACTTTTGGTTTCCTGTCAAATATGTGCCTTGAATTTTGAAGTATTTTGAAAAATCTTGTAGTTAACTTTGCTCATTCCTTGCAATTGTTTAACCACTTATTTTTCAACTAAAATAAAATAAATCCAGTGTTCAGTAGCTCAACGGCAGGTAAGTTACATTGTAAGTTTGGTCCGTTATCATATCAGTACACATATGGTAGAACTAAAATTAGCTACATCTAATGGAAGAAATGTCATAATAGGTTGTGGTAGACACTCCAGTCTTCTTAAATAATGTTGTTGGCAGCTTTTTATTCTACTTTTGAAACTTCTATAATCTAAAAGTTTGTGATGTAGGAAAGTAATCATTTCCTCAGAGGTAAGAGAAACAGATATCTTAAATATGTACACAGATCTGATAAGTAGCAATAAAATAGCACTCTTGCCGATTGTTCAGCTATTTTACCATAAACTGGACCCTTCTTTCTATTTATAGGAAGCAGTCTGGAAAGTAATTATGTCATCCATTTTATTTCCCAGTAAACT